GATTTGCAGATGTTGAACCAACCTTGCAGCCCAGGGATAAATCCCACTTGGTTGTGGTGAATAATCTTTTTGATGTACTGTTGGATCCTACTCACTAGTATTCTGGTGAGAATTTTTGCATCCATGTTCATCAAGGATATTGGTCTGTAATTCTCCTTTTTGATGGGGTCTTTGGTTTGAGGACAAGGTAATGGTGGCCTCATAAAACGAGTTTGGAAGTTTTCCTTCCATTTCTAGTTTTTGGAACAGTTTCAGAAGAATGGGTATTAATTCTTCTTTAAATGTTTGGTAAAATTCCCCTGGGAAGCCATCTGGCCCTGGGCTTTTGTTTGTTGGGAGATTTTTGATGACTGCTTCAATTTCCTTAGTGGTTATAGGTCTCTTCAGGTTTTCTTTTTCTTCCTGGTTCAGTTTTGGGAGTTTGCACATCTCTAGGAATGCTTCCATTTCTTTCAGATTATCTAATTTACTGGCATATAGTTGCTCATAATATGTTCTTATAATTGTTTGTATTTCTTTGGTGTTGGTTGTGATCTCTCCTCTTTCATTCATGATTTTGTTTGTTTGGGTCATTTCTCTTTTCTTTTTGATAAGTCTGGCCAGGTGTTTATCAATCTTACTAATTCTTTCAAAGAACCAGCTCCTAGTTTTGTTGATCTGTTCTGCTGTTCTTTTGTATTTCATTGATTTCTGCTCTGATCTTTATATTTCTCTTCTCCTGCTGGGTTTAGGCTTTATTTGCTGTTCTTTCTCCAGCTCCTTTAGGTGTAGGGTTACGTTGTATATTTGAGACCTTTCTTGTTTCTTGAGAAAGGCTCGTATTGCTGTATACTTTCCTCTTAGGACCACCTTTGCTGCATCCCAAAGATTTAGAACAGTTGTGTTTTCATTTTCATTTGTTTCCATGAACTTTTTTTAATTCTTCTTTAATTTCCTGGTTGACCCATTCATTCTTTAGTAGGATGCTCTTTAGCTTACATGTATTTGAGTTTTTTCCGACTTTCCTCTTGTGACTGAGTTATAGTTTCAAAGCTTTGTGGTCTGAAAATATACAGGGAATGATCCCAGTCTTTTGGTACCAGTTGTCACCTGATTTTTGACCTAGGATGTGATCTATTCTGGAGAATGTTCCATGGGCACTAGAGAAGAATGTGTATTCTGTTGCTTTGGGATGGAATGTTCTGAATATATCTGTGAAGTCCATTTGGTCCGGTGTGTCATTTGAAGCCTTTATTTCCTTGTTGATCCTTTGCTTAGATGATCTGTCCATTTCAGTGAGGAGGGTGTTAAATTCCCCCACTATTACTTATTTTTGTTGATGTGTTTCTTTGCTTTTGCTATTAATTGGCTTATATAATTGGCTGCTCCCATGTTAGGGGCATAGATATTTAAAATTGTTAGATCTTCTTGTTGGATAGACCCTTTAAGTAGGATATAGTGTCCTTCCTCATCTCTTATTATTGTCTTTGGTTTAAAATCTAATTTGTCTGATATAAGGATTGTCACCCCAGCTTTCCTTTAGTGTCCATTAGCATGGTAAATGGTTTTCCACCCCCTCACTTTCAGTCTGGAGTTGTCTTTGGGTCTAAAATGAGTCTCTTGCAGACAGCATATCGATGGGTCTTGTTTTTTTATCCAGTCTGTTACACTGTGTCTTTTGATTGGGGCATTTAGCCCATTTACATTCAGGGTAACTATTGAAGGATATGAATTTAGTGCCATTGTATTGCCTTCAAGGTGACTGTTACTGTATATTGTCTGTGTTCCTTTCTGGTCTATGTTACTTTCAGCTCTCCCTTTGCTTACAGGACCCCTTTCAATATTTCTTGTAGGGCTGGTTTGGTGTTTGGAAATTCTTTTAGTTTTTGCTTGTCCTGGAAGCTTTTTATCTCTCCTTCTATTTTCAATGACAGCCTAGCTGGATATAGTGGTATTTATTCTTGGTTGCATATTTTTCTTATTTAGTACCCTGAATATATCATGCCAGTCCTTTCTGGCCTGCCAGGTCTCTGTGGTTAGGTCTGCTGCCAATCTAATATTTCTACTGCTGCAGGTTACAGACCTCTTGTCTGAGCTGCTTTCAGGCTTTTCTCTTTGTCTCTGAGACTTGTGAGGTTTAGTATTAGATGTTGGGGTGTTGACCTATTTTTATCGATTTTTGAGGGAGGTTCTCTGTGCCTCCTGGATTTTGATGCCTGTTTCCTTCCCCAAATTAGGGAAGTTCTCTGCTATAATTTGCTCCAATATACCTTCTGACCCTCTCTTTCTTCTTCTTCTGGGATCCCAATTATTCTATTGTTGTTTCGCTTTATGGTATCACTTATCTCTTGAATTCTGCCCTCACAATTCAGTAGTTGTTTATCTCTCTTTTTCTGTGCTTCTTTATTTTCCATCATTTGGTCTTCTGTATCACTAATTCTCTCTTCTGCCTTATTTATCCTAGCAGTTAGAGCCTCCATTTTTGATTGTACCTCATTAATAGTCTTTTTGTTTTTGACTTGGTTAGATTTTAGCTCTTTTATTTCTCCAGGAAGGGTTTCTCTAATAACTCCTATGCTTTTTTCAAGCCCAGCTAGTATCTTTAAAATCATGATTCCAAACTCTAGGTCTGACATCGTACTAATGTCCATATTGAGTAGGTCCCTGGCAGTTGGTAGTATCTCTTGTTCTTTTTGTTGAGGTGATTTTTTCTGTCTTGTCATTTTGTCCAGAGGAGAATAGATGAATGAGAGAACAAAATGCTAACAGGGTAACAACGACCCCAGAAAAATATACACCAAACAAATCAGAAGAGACCTGAAACCGGGGGAAAAGAAAGGGAAAGAAAGAAAAAAGATAAAAAAAGATAAAAAGAAAAAACAGAATATGATCAAATATGATCAAGCTGGTGCATAGATCACTGCCACAGACTAGATATTGGGCATATTTTGGTTTGTAACAAGAAAGTGCCTCCCAAAATTTTAAAGAAAGAAAAACTTATATATGTACAAAAATAAGGGTAGATACGATGAAGGGATGGAATATGACTGTAACGATGAAAAGTATAAAAGACTTTATGAAAGGAATTGATAAGTTGGTTGAAAAAAGAAAGAAGAGGTTTTAAAAAAAAAAAGGGGGAGAGATTGTGATCAGGCAGGAGACTAGAACAAAGCCATACACTAGTGTTTTAGGGTATATTTTGGTCTCTTAGAAAAAACTGTTTCTCAAAATTTTAAAGAGATAACAGCTTATAAAAATATATACCAAAAATAAGGGTAACTAGTATGAATGGATAGAATATGACTCTAAAAATGAAAAATAAAAAATATTTTTTTAAAAAGGGATTGATAAGATGTTGGTTGAAAAAGGGAAAAAAATTAAAAAAAAAATTAACTTTGAAAGACTAAAGAATCATGGTAAAAAAGCCATGAATTCTATGTGCAGTATTCTCCTAGCGCTGGAGTTCTGCTGTTCTCATTGATCGGTAAACTTGGTCTTGGCTGGCCGTTCTTTTTGATCTTCTGGGGGAGGGGCCTGTTGCTGTGGTTCCCAAATGTCTTTGCTGGAGGCAGAATTGCCCCGCCCTGCCTGGTCCGTGCTAAGTAATCTGATCGGGTTTGCTCTCGGGAGCTTTTGTTCCCTGCGATCCTGCAAGGTACAGCTTTGGAGGATGAGAGTGAAAATGGCGGCCTCCCGATCTCCGCCCTGGAGGAGCCGAGACTTCAGGGCCCCACTCCTCATTTCGCCCCCAGAGAAAAATAGTCAGTCACTCCCGTCTCCCCGGTCTCCAGCCACACTCTGTGCTCACCCAGCCTGTGACGGAGCGTTTCTGTCTCTGGCACCCGATCTCCTGTGGATTCTCCAAACCCAGCAGATCCCTGAGGCGCTCCCGTACCACTGCTCCTGGGGGAGGAAGGGGAGTCTCCCCGGATCTGCTGCCTGTTGGGTCCCTGCTGGAGGAGCAGTGGCCCGACTGTGCTGTGGATCATGCTTTATGGCAGCCGAGCTGAGAGCCCGCTCTTCGGCTCCGTCTCTGCAGCCGGCTTCCCCGCTCAGTTACTTGGGAGCTCTGCCGCACTCAGGCACCCCCAGTCTTTCTGTGACCCCGAGGGTCCTGAGACCACACTGTCCCCACGAGGGTTCCACCCCCTGCTTAGCCCCTTGAGCGACGTCCCCCAGCGGAGCTGACTTCTAAAATTTCTGATTTTGTGCTCCGCGGCTCTAGCACTTGCCGGAAGTGGCGGACAGAGGCCCCCTGCCCCACCGTCTATCTTCCCAAATATCGGCTCGGATTCACTTCTCTACATGTCCTACCTTCCAGAAAGTGGTCACTTTTCTGTTCAGAGAGTTGCTGCTATTCTTTTCTTCAATCTCCTGTTGAGTTTGTAGGTTTTCAGAATGGTTTGATCCTTACCTAGCTGAATTCCTGGGACCAGACTAAATTTAGGTCTCCTACTCCTCCGGCATCTTGCTCCTCCCCCATAAGTCATTCTTATTTTACAGTGGAGGCAGTGGAATAGGATTGGGAACTTCAGAAGTACGTATACTCTTTTGTTGCTTAAGCTTGGTTCCCAGATTGTTACATCATTATTTTCAGATTCATATATATTATATATAGTCTTTTGAAAGTTTGAAATATTTAATAACAGTAAAATTAGTGTTAGATTACCAAACCTTAATTGGTCACTTTACTGTTTCATAGCATTGATGTTGGTAGCCTTTCCCTATTTCCAACATAAATATCTGAATTGATTTCTTCAGACTATCTCATACATTTCTTTTGTTTTATGGTCTTGTGCTTCATAAAGTATATGCTTAAACTTAATTTCTGAAACATCATTGTTACCAATTTGCTACCTTTGGTAGGAAAGAATTTTGAATTGTTAGAAAAATCTTGCAGGAAGAATTCTTTGTTGGTTTTCAGCTGTTACTTCGTGTCAGGTGGTATAGATTTGTAAATGAAAATACTCTTCTCTCTGCATATATATGAAAAGCTTGGCTTTTCTCCCCTTTATCAATAGGCAAGTGAAAGACCAGAATAAGAAGGTAGCAAATCTGAAGCATAAGGAACAGGTGGAAAAGAAGAAGAGTGCACAGATGCTTGAGGAGGCTCGACGAAGGGAGGACAATCTCAACGACAGCTCCCAGCAACTACAGGTTAGAACACGTGGACAATCTGAAAGGAGAGATTTGATCCGTAATTGCATGTTGTTTTCCTCTTCATCTTTATCCTCCTCTTTTTTCTCTTTCTAACCCTGCTTGCTGCCTTCCTCTGAGACCGACACTTTAGCAATAAAGGAATGGCTTTAAATAGAAAAGGCAAGTTTTATTCCACAGCTTTGTGAGGACACCTCAGCATAGGAGAAAGTTCACCTTGCTTCAGGTTGATGGCATTTAATTGGTAAGTTCAATGTCAGTTTAATGAGTTGGTTCTCTTAAGCTTTAGGGTGGTCAGTGTTACTGTTTGCCGTTTTCCTTCATTAAAGTGCATTGCTAAACCTGGTCCATGTCTGTTTAACTTCCTTGTTTTTCATTCTTCTTTTCCCTTTTCCCCTGTGTTTTCCATTTTGCCCTCTCTTTCTTTACATCCTTTTTAAGCATTCAAATTAGAGAACATATTTCACAGTCATACGGGATGTAGAAACTATACTTTTTCACTTCAGTGGAGTGATAATTGATGTGTAAACCTAATTATTCACAAATTAGGGTCCATAATAATAGTAGTGATGATATGAGAAGTGCCCATATGGGCCCAGTAGTTGGCCCTAGGCCCTGGTCATTCATTATTTCTAACCTTTACAGTGATCCTGTGGGACAGATGGTTTTGTACATATCTTATAGATAAGGAAACCGACTCAGAGAAATTGAATTATCTGACTCAATGCACACAGTTTTCAGAGTGGCTCAGCCACGATTTTAACTGAGACTTTCTGGATCTCTAACCTGTCAGAATGAAGGTTTAAATTTTAGAGAAGAATATCATAAACTTTGCTAGAAACCTTTGAAACTTCTGCTAAGGCTGCTAAGCCATTGCCACTTCATTTTTCTCTCGTTACAACTTCGAATTGGGTATGAGAGAGTGTGTCACAGTTGCATTATCATGAAATCTTTACTGGAGAGATTTGGAGGAATTATTACTGTGGAAGCCATTTTTAGGCTTTATAACAAATCCATTTCAGACATGTTTTTAATTTCTTTTTTCATTCATCTTTTATATAAATTTTATTGATTATAAAATGCATAGTCCTTATGGGAATAGTATACATTTTCTCAAATGCAGCACCTTTTGATAAAGCAGCATACCAATTTTCCCTCCCTCTTGCCAACAACTGTCAATACTGTCAATTTTCTCTTCCTCCTTTTTTTTTAAATGCTAATCTGATGGATGGAAAATATTTAGGTTTTGTTTTAATTTATATTCCTCTGATTACCAGTGAGGCTAAGTATTTATTCATGTCTTAAATTTTCATTTGTTAATGTAGATCAAATGTTATGTCTCCTCCATGTTGGCCTTTTCCCCAAGCATTTTTTGGTTCATTTATTCCTGTTTTGGTAACACATAAATATATATATACAAATATTTTTAAGTTGTTCTGGGCTTTCATTTTTTACTTATATATTTTTTTAAAGATTTTATTTATTTGAGAGAGAGAGACAGACAGAGTGCACACAGCTGGGGGAAGGGGCAGAGAGAAGGAGAGCAGATTCCCTGCTCAGCACCGAGCCTGATGTGAGACTTGATCCCAGGACCCTGGTATTATGAACTGAGCCGAAGGCAGATGCTTAACCAACTGAGCCACCCAGGTGCCTCTTACCTTTACTTTTTAACTTAAATTATTTTAGGGTATTTTGTATCGTGAGGGTCTTATTTTTCTTCATTGCTAACGATTTCACTAGGTTGTTGATAGGAAATTATTTAATTGCTCACAAGTTTCAGTTGGCACGTTTATATCTGAAATTATATAACAGGCTATTTCTAGGATTTCATTCAACCTCCTTTGTTGAACTAGGATCACACTGTTTGTAATTACAGAAAATATTTATTTTATAAGACAAGCCCTTATTTATGTTACCTCCTTAACTGTTTCATTTGTCTTGTGCCCTCTGTCCCTTTAATATTTTCGGTTACTAGTCTGTGTAAACTGAAAGATACCCTTTTAATCTTCTGTCAGTTTTTATGTTAACATCAAAAGAGCCTTCACATGTAATCTCCTGTTTCCTCTTTGTATAATTGAAGAAGTAAGTCAGATTATTTATTTATATATTACATAGAAAACTAATTTAGAGTAGATGAATGATTTTTCCAAGATGTCTCAGTAAGTGATAGATATAAAAGTTATGACAAGTGATAGTTCATGGCCATATGCAAGATACACATGGATGAAAACTGCATAGGATTACAAATAGGATACTTTGCATCTGATCTCAGCTCTTTTACTAACTCTGCCACTTACTTCTTAAGCATGTTATTACAAATGACAACCTAGTGGTAGTCAATATCCCTAGCACTAAGATTATGATCTCTAAATAGGATTTCCCACTAAAAGAAGCTAGAGATTCTTGGAGAAATGGCTAATCATAGAATTCATGGGAGTTGAATAGTAGAAAAGCAATTGATTTAGGTTTTGTATTAACAACAGGTCTTACTACCTGAGTGGTTTAGTGTTTTAAATTTCTGAATATATATTTGGGCTCATCTGTTGATTTTTTTTTTATGAAATAGGAAATGCAAATGGAAAGAATTATTATTATTTTAAGATTTTATTTATTTATTCATGAGAGACAGAGAGAGAGAGAGGCAGAGGCAGAGGGAGAAGCAGGCTCCCTGCAGAGCAGGGAGCCCAATGCAGGACTCGATCCCAGGACCCTGGGATCATGACCTGAGCCGAAGGCCGACCCTTAACTGACTGAGCCACCCAGGCGTCCCAGGAATTATTTTAGTATTCCGTTGTAGACATAATAATTCTATGATTATAATATATTCTCTATCTTGTTAAAAAATACTTTATATTTAATGTTTTCAGTTTTGATGACTAATGAATATTTAATCTTTATCAGATGCCACCTGCCTTCCAAAGATTAATTCTGTTGATCATGTTAATAAATATATAGTATGGTTTATTTTTTGTGAAGATTCGAACCCGCTTTAAAATAAGAAAGTTCATTTTCACGTTTTGTTATTCAGTGACTGATTGCCAGCTGTGGGAGTTTACTGTGGCTTCTCTCTTCGTAGCAGAAGTTACAATTTGCGGGAAAGCAGTAGTACTGCTTTTTAAATTTAACCTTTCTTTTTTCTGAAACGTAAATATATTTAAAAAAATACATAATAAAACATATGTATACACAGAATGTAAATAATACATACAAAGTGATCATCTCAAGAAATGGGAAGATTACCGGCATCCCAGAAATCACATGGATATTCCTTCCTGATCATTATTTCCTCCCTTCCTCCAGAGGAAATTATTATTTCGACTTTTATTGTTCTTTGCAACCTGTGTATATATTAAATAAAAAGTATAGGTTAGTTTTGCATAATTTTATATAAATGGAGTCACCATATTTATTCTTTTGTGACTTCTTTTGTTCAACATCATGTGTGAGGTTTGTTTTTGATAGTTGTGTGTAACATTTGCACATTTGTTGTCCTTACTGTTTTTTTTTAATTCAAAATTCCATGTTTTATCTTGAAAGTGTTTTGAAAAGATAACTTCATTTCTTCCCAATTTTCCATTTTTTGAATATTCAGATGGAACTAAAAGTACTCCTTTTTGGCAGAACATGGGTTTGAAAATAAGTTGTTACCTTACTCATTGTTCTTGGCTCAACACATTAAAAATGTTCTAAAAAGATTAAACAAATTCCTTACATATGAAATGAAAATGATACCTGGAAATGGAGGGAACCTAGGAATCCTGCAAACTATAAACATGGTCATTGTTTATCATGGCCTTAGTTATGAGTGTCCTTTCTTGAGATATGACATTGCCATACCATTGTATTCTGTTTGTACCTTTGTGTTTTGGACAGTTATAGCTGATGTATATTAACTAGTCTCAAATTTTTTGGTTTTAGAAGTCCCTTTATACTCTTAAAAATTAGTAAAGTCTCAAACAAGATTTTTTAATGTAAGTTGTAATTATCATATACATATGCCGTTAACTTATTGACCTGGGTATCCATCATCTCGTTGTATCTGAAGATACATGTCCAGCAATATAAAAATACTGATATAAAAAGTTATTTGCAGTGTTGTTAGTAAGTGTGAACTATTGGACAACCTAATTGCCCATAGATAGGAGAGTGCTTGAATCTACTATGGTACATCCACACATTGGAGACTTGGCAGCTTTAAAAAAGAGAGGAAGATCTCTAATGAACTGATACGGGAGTGATTTCCTGGACATCCCATTAAGTGGGGAGAAAAAAAGCACAAAAATTATCTATAGTATGCTAATCTTGGTATAAGAAAATACACACATATCTGATCTTTTTACAAAAGAAAACAGGAAGGGTAAACTAGAAAATAAAGAGGCCAGTTATCTATGGGAGTGGTGGGGAGAAGAGTGGAAAGAATGGGGAAATGGGATTGGGGCGGTAGATTTAAGGAGAACCTTCCCTTAGCATATCTCTTTAGAGAATAGCTTTGGCTCTCCAAACCATAGTAATATTTCACATACTCTAAAACCTAAGTAAACAAAACCAATCAAGATGCATTGGGGGAAACCAAAAGAGAATACAAACACTAACAAGTGAACCTGTTTTATAAAGAAATAATACAAACACCCTCAAAGGGGCGGGGAAGGGGCGGGGAACTAACCTCAGTAGCTTTGGAAAACATTTTCTTGACTGAATGCTATTAAGCTAAAGACAAAAAGAACTGTATATAAATGTTGTAATCTAGTAATAAATGTGTTTCTCACAAAGGATAGGCTAGCCATTCTGAAAGCACTTGATATGTGTACTAGAATTCCAATAAATATTGATAATGAAGACTGAGGTTTTCATTGTTCAAGAAAGAATTTATAAATAAGTAAAGTGGGAAGGCTTAAATGAGCCCTGTGGTGTTGAACTGGAATCAGAGATATTAGTATGAAGTCGTGGTACTTAATTTATATGCAGATAGAAATACTGATATGTGTATATGTATGGGGTTA